ATCTTTTATCAGTTCAATACATAAATGATTACAGTCGGAGTAATGAGAAGTCATTTTTGGCAGTACGGTCGCGCAGTGTACCTTTACCATCAACATGTAGGCATTGATACACTTCAACATACCGTATTTTCGCGGTTTTATTAAGACGCGGTTATAGATTTTGTTCTAGTTCAATAGCTTCGGAATCGGACGTTACTGTGAGAGCTACAGCCCACTTCACACCCCAAACTAATAGCTCCATCACTGACCTTCAGTTATAGAATCGCAAGGGTGGTTTTTTGAGAAATATTTGGAATAAACTATGCGTTCTAATAAAGCCGTCGAAATACGAAGTCTTGATAGCTCCCAGCCTCAGTCTAACCAATCAATTGTAGGATGATACACAATACTCGTTGGCATCAGCTCTCACACTCCCCCGTTAGGAAACACCAACAATCCCTAAGTATCACATATTAGTTTGGTAATGATTTCACTCAAATTAGAAAGAAAATACTAAATAATAAGCTACTGGAATTAAACGTCAAAGACAATTTCGGGTCTGCTTAACATTGTCCCGGGGTAGCGCATCCGACCTTTACACCTTTGTTCTGGCGATTCAATGATGATCAACAGCACTCTTTAAAGGCTAATCTATTTATGATGTTAAACTCCCGCTTATCACCACCACGAGTCCATCAATTTTATCATCGATCTTTTTTGAAAATATATATAAAAAAAAATATTAAAAATGCTAAAATACATGTTACTATTACAACTCTACTACTAATTAATAAGCCTACCTACTAAACAATAATAATTTAATAATCAATATTATATAATAATAATATATAATATAAAAATAAAAATAATAAAAAAACAATTATCATAAATTTAAGGACTTCAATCGAGTATAAAATAGAGTTTTCTATACGATTATCTTTACTTATTTTAACCACTACTTTAGCACTGGCGTGTTTCATGGATGACTGCTGTGCACGTCATCCCATCATGTTACTGTGATTCATTTTTTATTTCTGCAAAGAATGTTCATTCTGGGGAAGTAGGCGCTACACTCCACAGTACAGGAACTCGGCTGTGTGTGTGATATGTGTTTGGTGTTGATGGGTGTAGTGGTTGTGGTGTGTTGTGTGTGTGTGTGTGTGTGTGTGCGTCTTGTATGAGCCATTAGTGTCTGTCATTATATATATATTATATATTATATATATATATATATATATATATATATATATATATATATATATATATATATATGTGTGTGTGTGTATGTGGTCGTGCCGAATACGTTAAAACTTGCGATCTTGGCTTAAATAGTCAACGCTCATCTTGCCATACAGGACAAGTGAAAATTTGTGTAAGCAATAATTTCGCCAAAATCATTCTGAACCTAACGAAAAAAATATATTTCACTGTGTTTGTTTAGTATTAAATTATTGTAAACCGTATTTAAAATATATCTAGTTGGATTAGGCTAAAATAAATTACGCTAGTTATCATAAGGTTAGGTAAGTTTTCTAAGATTCTTTTGTTGCAAAATTAATTTTTTTTACATTAACATTAAGAGAAAATTTGTGAAAGGACTTAATTTCAAATGAGTTCTTGCCAATTGACCAATTTTTACAATTCGGCACGACACTAATATATATATATATATATATATATATATTATATATTATATATATATTAATATATATATATATATAATGTCATACCGAATTGGTAAAACTTGCTATTTTGGCTTAAACGGCAACATTCTTCATGCCGAATAAGCCAAGCGAAAAAAGCGAAAATTTTGTGTATGTGCAACAGTTTCCAAAAAATCATTCTGAACTTAAAAAAATATATTTCATTGTGTTTGTTTATTATTAAATTATTGTAAACTTATCTAAAATATATTTAGTTGGATTAGGCTAAATCAAATTGTGCTTGTTATAATAAGTTTAGGTAAATTTTCTAAGGTTCTTTTGGTACAAAATTATTAATTTTTACATTAACATAAATGAAAAAATCTTTTAAACGTATAAGAGAAAATTTTAGAAAGGACTTTATTTTAAATGAGTTTTTGCTAACTGACCAGTTTTACCTATTCGGCACGACATATATATAGTATCATATCATATATGCCTACATGTTGTAGTCATGTATGCCTTTACATGTTTGTCATATTTAGAACATTCCGAACGATATCAATCATTTAGTCAACGGTAACAGTATTTATAATTGATTCGTTAACTATACAACAACAACATGGTTAGACTTAGAAAAGTACGTCACTAGATGGAATTACTCCATTACTCAAGAGTTAAGGTCGCTGATCCCAGAGAACTATACGAGGTTATCAACCTTTCGTATGAGAATCAGACCAACACGTCAGACCGGTAATGCAGAGGCATGTGTGGCGCGACCCTACAATAGTGCCGGCACATGGACGTGTCGTCTTATGACAAAGATCCGTGTCAGGTGATTTTCTCTGACGAATAAATATACATAAGTGGTACGGCATGACAGCGGCACACCTGCGTTGACGAATGAGTTGTCAGGCAGGTAAAACACGAGTGGGAGCTCCAGCTGACGTATGTAAACATCAAGCAGGCTGATGCTGAGACGTGATCACTGACTTGAGGGCCGTCTCCCAGATCATAGAAAAAAAAAGAAGATTAAGAAAATGAAGACCAGGTGCCGACAGCCTTACCCTTTAGAAATTATTTACGATATAGATATTCTGGTCATTTTCTGGCCTTTTAGTTCGCTAATTGGGTTGCTTTAAAAAGTTCATGTGTAAACCAAATGTTTCTTGATGTTAAAGCCAGCAATGCAGTTACCATAGCAATATAAGGAGGCGATGGTCAGGACTATCAAGCAGCAGGATACTGAGAGCTTACAAGCATAACATGAACCAGGTTACGGCCACTTAATATCACCGCGCTCCTCTCGTTATGTGCAAGATAAACACACAGAGTCACTGATCGATTAAGCACTTGACTCTGCAGGCCACTGATCACTGAACACCACTACCCTTCAAGGGAGGTTGCATGAAGTCGGTGAAGTGCGCGATCCAAGGAATTGTAGCTACCCTCCCCTTCTTCGGATCGATACGCATTACCCCTATGTATTTCCTCTAATGAAAAGCAAGGAGCGCGAAGACTGTGCAGAGAGAGAAGGTAATAAATGTAGGGAGATCACGGCTCTTCAACGTCCTCTCACCGTACATTAGGGAACTTACCAACAAACCACTGGCTGTCTGCAGGAGGAAACTCGACAAGTTCCTCAAGTCATTTCCTAATAAGCATAGCTGTGGAAAGCACCAACAGTCTGATTAATCACGCCAGTAACCAGGATGCCTGGCCTGGGACAGGACCGTGGGGGCTGTGACCCATAGAAACGAATACAGGTAATTCCCTCCCACCACTCGTACGATCCTAACGTTCATAACAGTTCCCTATAAACTTATTCACACCAGCAAGAAGGGCAATGACTGCCCTGAAACACACCAAGATTAAATTCACTAATTGGTAATGTAGGTAGCTGTGATATTTACGGAGCACTCTGACCTTGTGGTTCACACGGCGGGGCGTCACAACCACACAGAGGGGGAACAGGAGCATTTGCGACTGATTGGTATGTAAAGCACAGCTGAAGTCAACTTCAAACAGGCCAAACAGCGCAAACAGATTGGTCGGTACAACTTTCTTAACTACAATGTCACCGTGGCGGCCCACCACACTCTCTGTGTCAACGAGCAGCGGCAGAAGAATGCATTCCTCCTCTCTTTACTCAAAAGTAGTTTCAGTAGTCTTTGGCATCGCGTAGACAGAGAGAAAAAAAGGAACCACACACCCAAATGTAACCTGTACATGCACAGCTCTTTGAACCACCGAGGCTCAAAACACTAAGAGCCATTTGTGGCCGCCAGAATTTACGGAGCACAGGGAACCTTCCTAGGATGAGTATGATTTAGATTTTGCCACCAAAGTGGCTAGGTTATTGTGTACCCTATATCCATCCTATGGACGGTTAGAGAAAGAGCATATGGATGCACAAAAAGCCTAGGAACTAGGCCCCAAAAGGGTTGATAGGAATACATCTGGATTTACATTTACGTTCACTTATCGTTACAAGCAAATTTAGGAAATTTGCTTAATATATTGGTACCTTATTTTCATTAATAAGATATCTTGATATGTCACACAGGTTATTATATTGTCTATCGTTTTAGAGACATTTGCATTGGAAGTTTTCATAGTGGCAACATTTTGCTCTGTGAAAAGTTCTTTTAACATTATTTAGCTTTTCACAAAGAGAAATTTTGTCACGTCTCGCCCTTGTATCCAGAACTGGACCCATCTAAGTAAAACAAACCACCTAACTCTAGCCAGACAACCGTTGAACCTAGACCCACTTAGTCCCAGCCAGTCATTTACTGATCCTAGTACTCAGTACCTCGATAACCAACCTTTTCTCAGCACTCAGACCAATCAAACCCCAGCCAGTCAACTGGGGACCACAAACACTCACCTACTAAAACGAGCGAGACCCAGCCAGTCAGCAGTGGGGCTCACAGCGCTCATTAAGTAGAACTTTCCAGCCCAGTCAATAGTGTCCCCACAGAACTTATGAAGTAGGGAATCGTGAATGAAAATGTTCTTCAGGTTGACCCACGAGGTTTACCAACTCACGATAGACCTTCAAAAAAGGACCATTGTCTTATTTCTTTTCCCCAGGATGCAATACACAACAGTCGGCATGCATTCACGTAACTATTGCTGGGCGAACAGAGATAGCAGACTTCACCGTAACTGAACCCGTAACTTGCTACTATTGAACCTCGTTGGTAAAGGCGATAAAACAACCATAGCACAATGAACCAATTACCCCTGTGAAACACACTAAGATTACTCAACGCTAAGAGAAAAAAAAATCTAAAACGAGAAATATTCACCTTTCCGAAATTTAATCAAACCTGAAAACTGAAAGAAAATAAATGGTAATAAAATACAGACACAATGGAAACTTATAAAACACAAGTGAGTATATTGGTGGACTCATTATTGACAACGTTTCAAACCACGTTTACCCAGAAATCTATAACCCACCGGTGATCACAATGCAGCATTCTCCACCTGACCTCAACTTTTAAAATAAAAACCCGCCTTTCCCAACCCCAGGTAATCCTGTGTGACTTGAAAAAGCCCACGTGTGGGTGAACGTTGTCAATAAGGATCACTTATACTCCTTGTTTTATATTTCCACTGAAAACTGAAAAAAACCAATTTTATAAAATAAACTCCTCGCCCCAAACACATCACTGACGTCCCGCGACTTTCGACATTTAAAAACAAAAAACACACCGAAGGTAACTATTATGGGGACTATCAATATAATACTCATGGGGAAGCACTAAACCTGTAGGAATTATGCAGCGCAAGGAAGAATGGAAGGAAATCAGGTTGAATGTTAGTGGAGGGTAGTTGTAATTCCTTGGATGAGGGGCCTTTACGAAAATACACGCAGGAAGTGTCTCCACAATCAACACCCAGATACATAACAAACCTAACAAAAGTATGTGTCAGCCCTGCAGGCAGCACCGAGACACACAGGATACAGCTAACAACAAGTATGTGTCAGCCGTGCAGGCAGCACCGAGACACACAGGATACAGCTAACAACAAGTATGTGTCAGCCGTGCAGGCAGCACCAAGACACACAGGACACAGCTAACAACAAGTATGTGTCATCCGTGCAGGCAGCACCGAGACACACATGACACAGCTAACAAACAAGTATGTGTCAGCCGTGCAGGCAGCACCGAGACACACAGGATACAGCTAACAACAAGTATGTGTCAGGCGTGCAGGCAGCACCGAGACACACAGGATACAGAAAAAATTTTCGGTGCAGCAGCCGGAGATGAGGTCTAAAAAATCTATAATGTACAGAAAAGTTCCAAAGCAAAATTTGTTGTGGCAAAACGCACAGTGGTGCCAACAGCACCAGGGAGCAGTGGTGCCAACAGCACCAGCAGCAGTGGTGGCCCCAAAAAGTGCCACAGCAGACAGTGGTGTCAACAGCACCAGGAGCAGTGGTGTCAAACCAGCCACCAGGAACAGTGGTGTCAACAGCACCAGGAACAGTGGTGTCAACAGCACCAGGAGCAGTGGTTTCCAACAGCACCAGGGGCAGTGGTGCCAACAGCACCAGGGGCAGTGGTGTCAACAGCACCAGGAGCAGTGGTGTCAACAGCACCAGGGGCAGTGGTGCCAACAGCACCAGGAGCAGTGGTGCCAACAGCACCAGGAGCAGTGGTGCCAACAGCACCAGGAGCAGTATGTGCCAACAGCACCAGGAACAGTGGTGCCAACAGCACCAGGAACAGTGGTGTCAACAGCACCAGGAACAGTGGTGTCAACAGCACCAGGAGCAGTGGTGTCAACAGCACCAGAACAGTGGTGTTCAACAGCACCAGGAACAGTGGTGTCACAGCACCAGGAGCAGTGGTGCCAACAGCACCAGGGGCAGTGGTGCCAACAGCACCAGGAGCAGTGGTGCCCAAAAGCACCAGGAATGTGGTGCCAACAGCACCGGGCGTGGGGCCAAAAACCCG